TTATTTATATCGTACCGGTTTCAGTTTTTTTGTTTAACAATTTTCCATTCTTATATTTTTTATAGTGATTATAATTTTCAGAATATTTAAATATAATTAGCCTTTTTGACGTTGTATTTAATGATTCGCAAATCTTTCCAGCTGCTTTCGACTTATTCCGATAATCGAGGCTATTATAGTCCTCCTGTTTATATGCCTTTGGAGTACGCCATGCGGGTTACAAATCAAAAGCAACTACAGTTTACCCATCCTAGAGACCCCAAGTATACTTATAATATGCACATTGATGAACTTTCCTCACTTCATCCTGGTTTACTTGGACCCGGTAGAAAGACACCTCAGGTGAATTATGCTAATCGTGGTGGAATTTTATGCGAAGTTCCGCCTGTGCCGGTATATCGCCAACATATTTGGTGTATGGGTCACGCTCACTTTACCTTGCAGCATCCGCGCATTTTTATTAAATGCCTTAGAGGGAAGGTAACAACCTGTAAGTGGTGTCATCTAAAATTCATTAACATGTCTACTGATGATGATAATGATGAGGATTGGTTTGAAGAAGAGCATAAGATCGCTACAACACCTGAACTAGAGAAGGATTTACGTCAACCAATCAGAGATCTTGGAGGAGTTTTGCGGCAGAACCCTTTTCAAGACAACAAAGAGCCTGATCCCTCTGTTTATCATACTGTGTTTAATCCAGAACCATACCGATGGAGACAATTTGATAGCAGACATTACGAAGTTCATCCTGCATATGCCAAGAAGAATCAAGATAGGAAAGCTCACTAGCGACACCACATATTCTGTAGGTAAATTCCTTTTATAAGTAGCGTATAGTTTATTATGTAGGGAATAAAATCGTGTAGTAGTAATGACAGACGGTAATACTTCTTTTTTTTTCCCCCATTGCTTTCCTTTTATTTGAATCTTCTGTCTTTGCTCGTATTAATTCAACTAACCTTTCTATTGTTTTCTTGTAAAACTACCTTTCTATCTGATTTTTTAAATTTTATTACTCATCTAAATTTAATAATCTTAAAAAAAAAATTCATTTTCTCTTTCTTAGTCAAATATCCATAAAGTTAATAAGGGTTCTTCTTTTAAGAAGGTTCGTTTTTTTTAGGGTATCAAATGTTATTTAAAATGCTAAAGGACACGGCAAAAAATAAAATGGGATAACGCCTTTCATAAGCATCTCATTAGTTCTAAGGAGCATGTGAGTAGTAATATGGACTCACAATAGCACTCTTCGAGAGATTCCCCAAGTTCTGGTTTACAGTATTGCAAAAAGGGGTTGCATATCGCTTCTTACTATTAATCTTTTTTATTATTATCATTTGCATCTCTTTACATATCACATTTCTGACTCATAAAATATTTTCATGAAAACAATAGCCCACGTAAAACATTATTAGGAGCATGCAAAGTGGCGAAGTGAATCCTCATATTGAGGGGGCATAGGAACGTCAAACCAAACGTAATGAGTCATATTACTTCAACTTTTAGGATTAAGAGCTCTGATATATTACAGATTATCTTTGTCTTTAGCAGGTCCAGATGTTTTTTTTGATAAATAGGTTTCAGAGGTGGAAGGGCTGAATCACGCCGTGGAAGAAGTAAGAGGAGTCAGGAACTGATAACAATGCAAAAAACATTTTCTGTAATATACACCTGGATCATTTTTGTAACCTTCCACTTAGTGAATTCATGCATCTCATGATATATTTAAATCTGGAGATGGGACTGTCTAACACAAGGCCAACCACGGATAAAAAATAACGGTAGATGTCGTCTGCAATCTAGTTTATAATGGTTCTTATTCTTTATGGTAAGTAATATCAGCTTGTGGTAAATAAAATCATTGTGGTGTATACGATCTATGAATCAAAATTAAGCTTTTGGGGTGGGGCATGCAATTACGCAAACCAGAACGCCTGGTACCTTTTACGTTAGATAAGGCTTTCAGAGTTTATCCACACTAACATTGGCTCTCCACCGATATCAATATTTTGGAGCCGCAAATATGTCCGCAAATTGATGGTGATGATTACTACAAGTTTCTACCTCTTAGGTACGATAATATCATTTAATGCGATCCCAAAGTTGTTGATTGAAATCTTGTGAGTGGACGATACTTGCTGGCATTCATGGAATAAACTTGCTTGCAGCTGATGAGTGTTAGTCTACTTTCCTTTTCTCTACTTTCCTGTATCATACTGGTAGCTATGTTTTGCTAAGGTTTTCCGCTTACCGAATCATATCCCTTATTACTGAGCATTGTATGTTCATTTTTATCGATTTTGTAGGTAAGTTCATCCGTACCCTGAACAATCAATGAATATGTTTAACTGTACCTTTAAGCAAATTATACTAATTTTTTTTCTGGTGATCTATTGATACCAGTATTTTTAGCATTGTTAACACATTTCATCGAAAAATAAATTGTCATTTAATGCGAATCATATTCTTTTTGGATAAGGTATATTTCTGATTATTATTCTTTTCCATAGTATATATTCATTAAATGAAGAGTAGTTAGATTTCCATTTAGTGACTCTGAGTTAAAAGAGAAAAATAAAACCCGAAAACTCCATTATCTCGATCGTTTTATTCTTTGTATTTGTTTACATTAGTAATTCAATGAAGGCACGAAACCAACTATTTGACGTAACTACATAGTGTGCAAAGGACGGTTTTGTACTTGTTTTTTCAAGAATATACTTATCCAAGGTTTCTATTAGCAGTAATAGCATCACTGGGTTAGATACTTTATGCTTAATGGCTTCCATGCGTATAACTTCATTTATTCGATTTGGTTTCATGGTAATTGGTGTAACAGGCGCTGCATCTGGCATTAGATACATCCACAAAATTTACTTTTCGGATGCTCGTGATAAAAACAAGCATCTTGTTTACCTAGCTGCCATTGCCCTGTCAAGCGAGGTCGTCAAACGGACTCTTTCTGATTCTGATTTTCGTCGTACATCATCCCAGTTTGGTATGAAGTTACTACTACACAAGGATACGTTGGAAGCCCTCAAAGCCTTTGCTATCACAGAGTTTACCCATGACACATCTACCAGGGGATCTCTAAGGAGTTTTGTTATTAATGACATTATTCGTGATCCTTGGGTTAAAGAGGAGCTCATTGATCTGGTAAAGGATGTTGCAACGGATGTTAAAGAGGACCCTGAGATATCCCGCAACCGATTTCTTTCATGCCTGCGTGAGTGTACTATTGCTTCTTTACATTCTCCCTCCCTTGAAAGCGACCTAAAAATGAAGCTCACAAGAGCGTCATGGGAGGCTTTGATAGGGCCTCCGCCGATCGGTACTGAGTACATTCATTTCTAGAAAATATGTGTTTGTTCGGATTCTTTTGCTCTTTTTGTGAGTGTGGATTTGAAGTTCCACTATTTTAGTTTGTTCATATTCTTACCAAATATGGAATTGTTACATTGTACAATACAAATGCTCTACACAGAATGTTAAAAAAAACTTACGCTCCAATAAAGAACCTGTCTCTGACTAGAATGAATTCTTTCCCAATGTTTAACAATACTTTCATTTCGTTTTTATGTAGCTTTGAGATTTCATAATTATTTGTGTATTTTAATGTCCTTTGGGTTTGCTTTATCTCATAGCCGCTCCTTTTCTTCTCTCCCCTATCTTTGATTGGTTTAGTATCAACTTCGTTGACAACTTCTTATTTTTTTAGTCATGCCCAACAATAATACTAATGGATTTGGAGATTCGGCCAATACTGTTCAGCTAATAGCGGCTCAGCGCGGTCGTAAAGTGTATCGTGTTCGTGGCCAATATTTCGACATCGAAGACACTTACACAATTACTTCTGTTATTGGACATGGAGCCTATGGTGTAGTCTGTGCCGCATTAGATGACCGTACCTTTCAGGAGATCGCTATTAAACACGTGAATCATGTGTTTGAAGATTTGGTGGATGGCCGACGCATTTGGCGTGAGGTTTTACTTCTCCGTCTTTTAAAGGAAAAGGGCTGTCGCAATGTTTTAAATCTAATTCGTGTTTTACCATCAAAAACCAGCATCACAGAGTTTAACGATTTATACATGGTCACTGACCTTTATGACGTTGATTTTCACTCGATTATTAGGCAGCGCAGGCCGATCTTACTCGACGTGCTGCGTAAGGTGACTGTGCATGTCTTGCGTTGTTTATCAGATATGCACTCCATGGGAGTGGTTCACCGTGATATTAAACCTAGTAATATTCTGTTGAAGATGGATAAAGATCTTGAGAGCGCCGTTGTGTGTGACTTTGGCCTTGCAAGGGGAGGCCTGCATCGGCTCAAGGACCCAAGTTACTTGACTGACTACGTCGTGACGCGGTGGTATCGGGCGCCGGAGGTGTTGCTCATGGCGCCGTACAGTTATCCAGTTGATATATGGGCCCTGGGCTGCGTTATGTCAGAATATATCATGCAGCGCCCGCTCTTTGATGGTCGTGATTATATTCATCAAATGCAGTTAGTTCTTTCCACTGTTCCCATCACTGGAACCGACTTTATCGAGCGTGATTGCGATACGACGATCCTGCACCTAATAGAAGTAGCGAAAAGGTATGGAGACACTCGTCCACTAAGCAGACTATTAGCGTCAATTCCGAAGGACGGACTCGCTCTTGTCTCTAAAATGCTTGCCTTTGAACCTAATAAGCGCATAACTGCACAGGAGGCGTTGAGGCATCCCTTTTTAGAATCTGTAGAGGGTTTAGACTCTGAGAAGCATCCTTCCCCCCCTGAAGTAGACCTTGGTTTCGACATGCACACCGATATATCAGAGTGTCAACTTCGACGTGTGATATGGAACGAAATTCAGCACTATAAAGAATAACATAATAGAAATTTAGTGTCAATATATTCAATGAGTGTTAATGAAAGCTTGTAAGTGTTAGTTCACATTTGTGAAATTCAGGTTGAGAGGTCAGTGTCCTAACATTTCTCATGTACTAAAATCAGAATATGTGATTTAGAGCGCTTATTTAAGGATAAAAATGTGCATTAAACACTATGTATGCCTAGTACAATTTGAGTTCAATGAGGTAACATGGCAACATTGACATTTTTTTCTTGTTATTACTTTACATAGTTTTGCACTGGCTCCTATTTATGGAACCTGCTGCTTTGGTCCTTATCATTATTTTTTTCCTAATGCAGGGATAGATAGCGATATTATATATATATATATATATATATATATATATATTACATGATATGGGCCTGTGTATATTTTTATTTATTTTCCATTTTTTTTTAACTTATAGCTGTAAATTAAAAGCCAGTGTGATGAAGCTAATAGACCATGTACTTTTAGATTTTTTTTGTTTCCAAAAGTAATTCTTAATTGCTTCAATGTCATTCCCGATTAAAAAGAAGTTCTACAAAGAAATCATTAAATAGTTTATCTTATCCAGTATTATAATTAAATCAAATATCTTATTATCGATCTCACTGCAGCAACAAAGATATTTCAGATAGCGTGATATATTGAAAAGTGACAGTATTAACTGTCGTCATTTCCTTATAGCAATAACACTTCTTCACCCTAAAAGGTCTGAACTCATTACACAAATGTTGTTATATTTCCTTATTTTATTGCTATTACTGGAGTGGAAGTTTGGTGTCATGCGTTGGATGCTACAAATGCTCCAACAAACGTTTGAGCGATATACCGCCCCTAAGATCGAAGTCCCTCCTCCTAGGCTCTTCTTTGACGAAGCTCCAGCGATGAGGCCACTGAACCCTCGCTCGGCCCCAGAAGGCTTCATTCAATGCTACGACAAGGGGACCAACGTACCGCTTGGAATTGTCAAGGTGTACACCACCGACGATGTCCGAGCAGCTGTAGCGAAGGCGCGCATTGCACAGCGCATATGGTCCCTCACTCCCTTCTCTACGCGTCGTCGTCTTTTGTTCGCCCTAATGGACTACATTTTGGACCACCAACGGGAGATCGCTCAGACTGGGTGCATTGAAGGTGGCAAGACCATGATGGACAGCGCCCTCGGTGAGCTCCTGACCACCTTTGAGAAGCTGCGCTGGACGGCTGCAAAGGGAGAGGAGGTGCTTAAAGAAGAGATTCGAGATGTAGGCTTCATTGCGATTCATAAACGAGCAGCTGTGAATTACGTTCCTTTCGGTGTCATTGGTGCGATCGTATCGTGGAACTATCCTTTCCACAACATCTACGGGCCCATGATTTCTGCTCTATTTGCCGGCAACGGTTTTGTGGGAAAGGTCTCCGAGTACACATCATACTATGCGACCTATTACCAATCTATCATCCACAACGGGCTGTTACAATTGGGTTATTCTCCAGATCTCGTCACTTTTGTGACTGGCTTCGCTGAAGCCGGCGAGGCACTGGTGTCGTCTGTTGACAAACTCACGTTTATAGGCTCCCCGGTGGTGGGGAAAATCGTTATGCGCAATGCCGCGTCGACACTGACGCCGGTCGTGCTTGAGCTGGGTGGTAAAGATGCCGCAGTCATTTGCAACGATGCAGATTTAGATCAGGTTATTCCGATTATCATGCGCGGTACTTTCCAAAACTGCGGGCAGAATTGCGTCGGCCTCGAGCGTGTTGTAGTGCAGGACACCGTCCATGACCTAGTTGTGGAAGTGCTTACCCGAAGGGTACGGACGCTAACACAGGGCCCTGCCTCGCAGGCGCAGTACGACCTCGGTGCCATGACTATGGGTCATGTGGCGATTGAGAAAATACAGCGTCTTGTGGACAACTCGGTTGCGGCCGGCGCGAAGCTGGTCTATGGAGGCAAAGCAACAAGCGACTACTTTTTCCCGTCCACAATTTTGACCAATGTCAAGGCGACACATGCTATCGCACTGGAAGAGGTTTTTGGACCAGTACTGGTGGTCATGAAATTTAAAACTGATAAAGAGGCAATTGAGATTGTCAATGCTTGCCCCTACAGTCTTGGTTCAAGTGTCTTTAGCAAGGATCAGGAGCGAGCTAAGTACATTGCTGATCGTCTTCGCACTGGGATGGTGAATATCAATGACTTTGGTATCAATTACCTCTGTCAGTCTTTGCCTTTTGGGGGTGTAGGCATCAGCGGTTTCGACCGTTTTGCCGGCCAGGAAGGCCTACGTGGCAACTGTATTGTGCGTGCCTCTACGTCTGACCGAATTACATGTATCAAAACTATCATTCCATCTCTATTGCAATATCCGGTTACGTCTAAGTCTTTTGACTTTATACTGAGCTTATGTAATGTAATCTATGGCGACTTGCTATGCATGAAAAAGTCCATGTTTAAATTATTCACAATTAACTCTGAAGCCAGGCTTGAACAGCAGTGAGGACTACTTAAAAGCAGCACAACTGCAAGAAATGGAAAAAAGTATAGTTATCTACTTTCCACACACAAAAAAAATCAATTAAAATATCCATTCAGACATCTCTTCCTCTTTATAGAGACTGAGCTTATTTATACCTTTTTTTAAACAGGTAGTTTTTAATAATCTTAATTACAGAAAACACCGCCTTTCTTTCTATTTTTTTATATGGCACTCTGTCATTAGAGAAACCTGCACGTGTTGATATACGCAAAACATTTTTCTGTGGTATATTTCATTATTTTATTTGAATTCCGATTTTGCCCTTTGTTTTGACTGTAGGTGTAATTTATGTCCATTTGTCCTGGACTCAGTGGCGATCTGACCGCAGTTCCTTATCGCTTTTTTTTAGGTACCCTCCCTGGGCTATATGTGGAGAAACGCATTTTACGTCAGCTTCAAGCAGTTTTTCCATGGTACGCTCTGCGGAAACGTATCAGGGAGCAAAATAATGAGTTCATAGAACTTGATTTGGGAGGCTGTGACCCGGAGTTGATTTTACGTTATGCTCATGTTCATTACTCACGCCGACAAGTACATGATGAGCTTATTGAGAGGCAACTAACGATTCTCGAGACGGGTAAGCTGATAAACTTGAGCGATGCTTCTTTACTTAAGTGTTTGACTGACTGCAATGCGTTAATATTGCGGCGCCTTGATTATGAGCTTCATCAACTACAGAAAGCAAAGCGGGCGTGCAATGTGGCGCACCGTCGGGAGCTGAACCCAGACGACATCCTTGAGCCACATGACCACCTCTGTATGATGCGGGTGGTTGAGGAAGATGTTTGCGGCGTGAGTGATGCCGAAATGAAGGCCTGTGCCTATCTGCCGTTTGGCCTTGTTGAACGCAAAGCTCAGGAATTCATAAGAACGTTAGGGGGGGATCATTCTGACAATAAAGAAGGTGACTATATCCTAGGTAAAAAAGATCAAAAACTACTTCAGCGTCTCATTCCTGCTGACTATGCAAAAGTGGGCTGTGTTAAGAAGCTTCGTCCTGTAGATGTTACAACGTACTATCGTTTTGCTGGAGAGAGGTTGAACCGGTTTCATCCAATCGATCAGTACTTCAAGCGCTGCTTGTATGGACATGTATGCCGCAAAGTGGCCACCCACCCTCCGTACCTCCGAAGCATTTCAATGTATTGGGCGCGGTACTCTGGGCTAGACGCCCACTCTTCGCTCACGACCATGTCTCCAGAGCTAGCGGAGGCCGTCTGTACGCAGCAGTTGCTTTTCCCGGCGCTTAAATTTCACTCGCAATTTCTTTACTCCTCGCCGGACCTGGTGCGGCAGATGTGGCGTACAGGCAATGTTGTGCCTCTCATGAAGCTTTATCCGCTCCTCGGTGCCGCCGCTGCGGAGGATCTCGCTGCTGGGATGGTGGTTGAAGCCGAGTGGGCACGACTTTCGCCGATGTCGGAGTCCATGCCCCTTCAGGAAGGTGTACTCCATACTTTGAGAGAGGCTATTGAACAGGCAAGTGACTGGTACATAAGCAATCGCGATGCCTTGTGGAAGCGCGTACAGGAAGGGGTAAATGTAATCTGTCCACCTCTTTCTGAAAAAGAAAAAGAGTTAGTGCAAGTTGATGGGTATGACATGAGAGCAGTAGCTAGTATATCATCATCTTTGTAAGCTACTGTACAGGCCTTGGATTCGGAAAGCGAACCTTTTGAAATCAAACACCGCTTAGGACGGGATACCACTGTTATAAAGAGGGAGAGAGAGGAGACCTAAGTAAAGTATAATTTTAATAGGTTTGACTTCATTCGTGAGAATACTTTTTTTTGCATTTTTTTCATATATTTTACTTCCTTCTCTATGTACCAGCCCTGGATCACATATGGTGGAGGGGGGACAATTCAAAGGTTTCTTCAAAACATCATCAAGAAAGTGCAAACGGTTCTAGATACAATTATTTATGGTCCATTCGTTTGTATGGCTTTGAAGAGGTTTACATTTCCCGTACTAGATGGCATAGGCCTTACTGGACCTTCGAAGATGACAGAAATCACGCAAGATGTGCTTTCTCCTTTGGAGAATGTTTTAATCTCCAAAAAGAAAATAAGGGAATCTCTTACCCGCAGAGAGGATGGATTAGCTTGCCTTTATAAGGTAGGTTCGCAAGTCACACTCCCTTTAACATTCATTGGAGCACTACATGACCCTGACCGAAATGAAGGCACGACTAATGGACTGCCGAAAACGATTCTCGTCCATTCGCCAGGTCTCTCAGGGGCCTTTCATGTCCACTTAAATGATCTTTTGTCATGTCGTGGACAGTTTACTACGGATAAGCATACCACATCGGGAGAATCCCAGCAGCTAGGTTTTCTATGCTTGATGGAAGTGCTTCAGGCCTCCTTGCGGCACCAGGGACCGCTTAAAGCGTCTGACATTATGGAACAAGTATACCTAAAAGGAAGGCGTCGTCATTTTTCAGCGCAGGGCACTATCCATCTCCTGAGACGAGGAGACCAGATCAACCCGGACGCGCTGAGGCTTGATTTTCCCTACCACACCGGCGGCACCCACGCGCTCAAGCGTTACATGGACATCACCAACAAGGCTTGTCAGCACTTCTGTGGGCATGCGGCTCATGGGATCAAGGTGCTGAGCCGCTACGGCTCCGCGGTGAGTGTGGGGGTTGCACCTAACGCGGTGCTGGGGACGCCGTGCCTGTACTGGCATCCTTACGGGGCCCAGGCCGCGTGCGTCGCGCCCGCCCTCCACGGCTGCCGTCTCTTGCCAGTTGGCAAGGTCAGACTGCAGCTGAATGGACCAACGTCCTCCTGTGAGGTCCTCCACAAGGAAGACATTCGACGATACATGAACCCAAATGTTGAAGGCCTTTATGATTCGAGTCTGTGGCTTTGTGAAGGTCTTTTTGGAGTGCGCCCAGGACAGCCGTGGCGCGAGAATAAGTTCACCTGTGTATTAGGTGTCGGCTTTAATGAGACTGAGGGGGAATTTGAGTTATTATTGAAGGAAACACAATCTGATACCGTGTTTTTTGCCGATGATTTGGAGCTTAACCCTTGATTCCGTTTCGAACTAGTTTAGAGATGATGTTTTGGAACCTCTCCCAAAGATTTAGTAGTGTATAATATATACCTATGTATTTTGTGCATTGTGGTGCCATTCTTTATCCATATGGCGGTTGTTACGCTCTTTCCTGATATTACTGTTATCCTGACTACCCTTTTAAATTTACTTTTCGATATTCCGGTCTAGTATATAGTAAAACGTTTTAGCATAAAAAAATAGTAGTCTATCACTACCATATTTGCTCATGGCTCGAATAAGTGCCGATATTAAATATTTAGGTGATCCCGATCCCCCTGTGGAACCGAAAGTTCGGATGTCCGCGCTGCGTCGATTGTTTTTCGAAGATTTAGATAGCTCTTTTAAAGTGAATCCGAATAAAATAAATAATCTAGACTTGGTTGAAAATGCATCTTCACGTGCTGCTTGCGAAAATACTTTGCGGAAGCAGTTTAGCACGTGTTCTGAGGAATTGCTTTCCTCAGAAAATTCTTCAGATCGGCAAACTGAGTGTAAATCCCAGGGCCGCACGCGGAAGTTCCATTCATCTGAGAAAGAGATTAAACGTGCTTCGAAATTACGGAGGCTCTCAACACTCTCTTCTGAAAAGCAGGATAATTGTAAGAAATCATTAGGATCAAGCAAAAGTTTTTGTGGGCATTTCAAGTTCACTGTAGCAGCATTAACCAATATAGTTGCGGGCTCGTTAGCAGGTATGGCATTTAAGTGTGTTTATCGTACAGTATCATCTACTGTAATTACCGGTATTGTAGTAATTCAGAGTTTATCTTTCATGGGATATGCAACAATATCTTGGAGGGCTCTTTTTTGCGATGCTTACAGATTCGTAATTCACGGATCTAAGGCCGAAGATAGCCAGGCGGCGAAGAATATATTATCTCTTACTTGGAATCGTCTGATATTCACCTTATCACGGTCTGCGGCACGACGAGCTTTTTTTTGGGCTGGTTTCATTTTTGGAACATTTCAGCATTAGTTAAATGACTTATGGATTACCTTTTTTAAAATTACAATAGCAAGCGACTTAGTATGTGTTTTTATTATATTTAGATGTACACCATTAGGTCAATATTTAACCATCTTAGAATTAAAAAGCGATCAATATGGTTACTAACAATATGTATAGTTTATTATATCAATTATATTTTGCTTATTCGCCAATTTACCGGCCAGTCAAAGAATGCTAGTTCACCTCTGAGATGACGATGTGTATCATTCCGTTACCATCTCAAAAAGGTTTTGCTTCCAAATTAATTTAGTTAGTATATGATAAAGTCACTATCCGCTTCATTGTTTTTTTTCAAGAATATAATTCGAAAAAATAAGCGAATTCTGTTGTTATCAAAAAGAGATTGATATCAGAGGTTAATATACAATAAACATCTATATAAAAACATTTATTTCTAACTTTATATTGTGTGAAGTTTCAGTTTATATATATATATTAAAAAAACGAATGATATTGTATTCGATCACTTGTCCTTTTTTCTTTTCCTTTCCCTTAGATTTATACTCGAAATGATCTCCATAGTCAATGCCGACAAGGCACTGACACATGAATCGAAAGACACCTTTGTTAGGGAAAGTGATTCGCTTTCGAAGGGAAATCCAAGCGGGTTGGTGAAGGCTACTTTGTCCACTAAGCAGACGGACCTCTTTAAAAATCTGGGGGACCAGCGAGGAGCGTCCTGTGAAATTGCAAAGGAGGTACTATCTCGCTTTGCGTTGAGGGATTGTTCGGTGTTTGTTTACGGCCTCATGGAATCGCCTCTGATACTAGAGGAAACGAGCAAGCTGCTTTCCGAGATGGAAAGGTGCTGCGGTTCCCTGGTGGGGGCCTTTCGGTTTTGCGCTACTCCTCCACCTGGTTTTGATCGGCCCGTTTATCTGAACCACGTGTTTCTGGTTGTTTTTGAAACCCTTACCTCTGTCGAGAAAGCCTTGCGCTTGACCGGGGCGCGTATTGCTGGGAATGTGGTGGTGGTGAAGCCATCCTCAACCCCAAGACCGCGATCGGATACGTCCGAGGAGGCTTGTCTACGGACCTTTCTCCCTTCCACTGTTCGCGAGGATGGCGGAGGACGCCCATTCCCCCCGTCCGCCCGCTTGTGGGCCGCCCTGTTCTCAACCGCGTCGGTCTACCACGTCGACTGGGCCGGGGCCCGCGCCGCCGCGAAGCGCCACGACGCGGTGATTTTGGACGAGTCGAGGGTGCTGCTGCCGCCCTGGCCCCCCATCCTTGCAGGGGGAAAAGCCGAAAAGGGCGGGGGAGCCTTTCCCGCGATCCTCGCAGGGGCCTCCCCATCCTTTTCAGGGGAGGCTGAAACAGGGGAAGGAGGGGGTGCCCCATTCCCGGCCTTTTCTCCCGCGCGCGGTTTTCCGGCCCGGCAGGGGTACAGCGGCGCACCTTCGTTGCCGCTGCTTCAGCAGACCGGCGAGACGATTTCGAAGATGCTCGGGATTGGGGGAGAGGGAGGGATTGTTGGGGGTCGCCCCCCCGACGAGGAGCACCAATGCATGCCGGCGGATGGGGGGTTGACGCCGTCGATGCGGAGGATCCCCCCAACGGGGCGCGAGGTGTGGGCGAAAGAAGAGCCTGCGGCCAGGCGTCAGCGTCTGGAAGAGGGCCGCATTGACGTCCGTACGACAGCGGAAGCCCCGGAGGGGTCGAATGCGGAACGGTGGGGCTCCGCAGGGCAGGGCTTTCCACGGTTGAGTGCTGTGGGCTCCGTGTTGAGCTGGATGCCAGGCTTTAAGTACCTCCTCCCGTTCTTCAGTGTAGATGAAGATGAGGGAGAAGGGAAGGGGCACCCCAACGTGGACGCCCTGAATGAGCCTAGCGGGGCCTTCCTCGACGGCCCTGCTCGCTCGTCCGGGCTTACCCCGCCGCCAGCGCTCTGGGGGATAGTGGGACCCCGCAAAAAACAGGAAGGGGTGGGGTCGACCGCCCTGGCCCCGCTCATGCGATTCCCGAGTGAGGGCAAGGCGGCACCTGCTCACGCAGCGCCGTGTCTCTTGCCACAGCCCTCACAGTCCTCCTTCGCGTTGCCAACGGCATTTAAAGCCACTGCAGAGAATCCACAGCCCCCCCGTGCAAGACTTGATGATTCCGGCATCCGGGTTCTCAGCCATTCAGGACGACCAAGGGATGAGATCAATGAGACCTCCTTTACTTCTCTCCGCACATCTAACACCCATTCTCTGACTAGCGCACTGCGAAGGGGAGTAAACACTTCAACAGTTGGTGACAATTCACTTGTGGACAGCAAGTTTTTGGATTATAGCGCTTAAGGGGACTATGGCGCCATTAATGTTATTGGTCTTTCTAAGGCGTGTTAATCGGACTCTATGGTGTTTGTTTTTAAGACTGAGCGGTTAAGCAAGTTTCCATCTACATTAATGTCTTTGCAGATCTTCATAGGTGAAATTGATTCTGTGTAGTGACATCTAATAGATAAAGCACTCCTACTTAATTTGTAGATTATCGTTCTCTTTTGCCATGTAATGAATACCATTATATATCTGTATTTAAATTTATTCTAAGGAAGGCCACCGATTCAAAGTATCGAATTGGCCGAGTCACTAATAGATCTCAAGATCGAGTTTAGGGGTATATTCCAGACATCGCACCGCTGCATTATTTCACAATGATTTCTCTACACTTCATTTTCTAGCTTAATGCTGCTACTGCATCCCATGTAAGGCCTACTACTACGGTTTAAATTATTTATGTGAATAAAATGCCATGCATTTTTTCTATTCCTTTTAATGTTTCTCAATGATTTCGAATGTCCTTCTCAAGTATATTTTTTTAATAAGCAAATACACTTTACAACTTTCAGTTTTCGAGAACAGGATGCCTAATCTTTGTGTTTCATGCCATTTTAACCCACCTGTCGTCACGATTTTTGGAGCATCTCTTCGTGAAGATACCATTCGCGCGTTGGAAAGTCAACTACCGCTTGTAACGTCGACGGCGGCTGTTCCCAACAAGGAACAGCCTAAATTCACCTTTGTCCAAAAGCCCGATCACTGGAGGATTGAGCTAAATCAGCAATATTGCAACGAACTCCACAAATCCGCGATGTTCCTTACATTTATTGAGGCGTTGAAGCAGGAAGGATGGATGATTCGAGCCTCGAACTCTGTTGGAAAGTGTGATAGTGAAGACACTAAACTATTTTTCACTCGTTCGTAAGTAAGCTATGAAAAATGATTAGTGTATGTACATTTTTTTTAAAAATATTATCAAATGTTTATTTTTTTTACCCCTCAATTTTTAAGCATTTTGATGTACTTAGTAATTTCACGTGCTTTCTTCAATTTTTATCAAGTCTATTCGTACGAAGAAAGCAAGTTTTCAGAAATGTAAAAAAAACTATTAGCATTTATGTACAGATATATATTCTCTTCCTTCCTCACAATATTGAAGTGAGGTAATCCCTTTGTGTGGCCTAGGAAGCAGTGTTGATTTTTTTTTGTTTTCCTTATTCCGTCTTGTGAATTTTGGCTTCTCGTTTTTTCGTAAATATTTCCAATCATTAGTGAATTAATCAGGTAAATTTTTCAAGAATAAAATAGTGTGTCTATATGTACGCTAAAGTCAGGCGACCATTATGGAGTTTTTTTCTCCCCGCTACTATAGGTAGTCGCTTTCGAACCATTGGCTATAACTCCTTTATGTTGATGTTTCTTATTTCATCAGCAGCCATTTTGAATAGGCAGTCTCACTACCGGGCTAAATTGTCCGATGAGGATGAAAAAACCTATGACCGAATCAACCGTCGAGCTTATATTGCATTGCCTGATGGCCGCATGGCGCTTGTCTACCCCATTATTGACACCCAGACAACCTTTACTCGAACAGTTTTAGCATTTTTGGACACTGTTAATATATTGCCCTGAAAATTTTATCTATAACCAAATCTCTAGGACATTTTTTTCAACCTATAGTTTTTTTCGTCACCAAACAGTGATAAGTAGACTGTACTATTTTTCTTGATTAGTATCGTCTCTTTTTGTCTCTTCCATGTGGTTTCGAAATCATCATATTAGACAGAAACTTAAGTTGTTTTTTTTTTCATAAAATCAAGGGAATAATGCAGGCTTAGTAGAAATAGAAGTGATTTATTTATATTTAGGAAACTCTAAATGCCTAAAACGATTTTATAAAAGTGCATTGTATATAGAAATAGAAATATTGATATCTATTCCTATGTTTCTAAAATTCTTAGTTTATTAATAGCGTTAGCTGTGACCTATTCTCATAGTAAGGAGGAGGGAGCCGTTGGTTTTATGGAAATTTATTGTGAGAAATGTTTTGTAAGTACATGGATCCTTTTTTTTACTTTATGACTTATAATTGTCTCCAATATTGTATTCATTTACCTTCTTTACGTTTTTATTTAACCAAGGTTTTAATGCATTCCCTTAAAGGCGCACCTTCTTTGTTTCCCGGGTCTCAAACCCAGTCCGTGCGCTCAACCACGACGGAAATGGAAAATCCACCTCTTATAAATCCAGAGGGGTCTGTCACCAAGTCTGATCCCAAAATCAGTTCTATAAAGAAAAAAAAGAAGAAATCTAAAAAGACTAAAGAACTAACTTCATCATTCACCACATCTAAACCCAAAGCAATAGATTCCTCTATTTTCGAGAGAAAGGATGCTTCAGCGACGTATTCGCTAGAGCCTAATGTTGAATATGTGGATGACTTTGAAGAAAGTCAGTTGGATGATTTCGATGACGAAATACCGACAGTGGAACAGATGGCGTTCAAAGGGGTTCCATCCGAACACGTATCCGCTGAATTGTACTCTCAAGAGTTCGACGAATTTGAGGGGGAAACCTTAGAATTAGAGAAAAATAATACGGACCTAGAGCTAATTGCGAAGAAAGACGAATTAAGCGTTAGAGAGAATGAATTAAATCAGCAAATCGAATTGTTTAGGGAGCAGCAGCTGCAACTCCAACAACAACAGCAGCAGCTACAGCAACAACAACTTCAGTACCAACAACAGCAGGAGCAGCTACAGCTACAGCAACAACAGCAACAGGCATTGGTGGAGGCGACGAGGCAGCAAAAGGTCGAGCTAGTCCGAGAAGATCCCGTCGATGCGGGGTTCTCCTCGGTTGAAAATGTCCCGCCCCCTCGCGGTGCCGACGAGCGACAGGTTAATCAACGTGAAAGAAAGCTAACGGATGCTCAAAAGGCCGAACTTCAGCGCCGACGGGAGCGGGAGCGCGCCCTACATCATCAAAATGCCGATGAGGAAGAGGACGTTCACTATCTTTTCCAGCGCCTATCACAGGACGTTAGGGAGGTTTTTCACGAACTTTGTCTTTCTGTCATTGCAGCTGAGAAAGAGCGTCTCCTTAGGGACGAGCGGTATCGAAAGGAGAAGGAGGCGCGGGATCGACGAGAAGAGCAGGAGCACATGGAAAGACTATTGCGAGAGGTCACCGAGCGTGAAGAGCGCGAGGCGAAGTTTTGGACTAGGGCCGAGAGAAGCGAGCAAGAATTTCGAGTCCTAATAGAAGATCGCCTAAAAAAGGACGAGATGGAGCGCGAGGCGAGACTTAAAAGGGACTTACAGGATAGCGCGGAGCGTATGCGAAAGGATCAGGAGTTAAGAAGCGAACTAGAGAAACTGGAGCGTGAGAGGCGCTCCCAAGTCACTGCGGAAGCACAAAAACAGGATAATTCATTTATCCAAAGCCAGATAGAAAATATTAAGTCTCAGTATGCGGTTCAACTGGAGGATATTCGAAAACAAAACGAGCACCACCATGCAAGCCTTGAGGAGTTTCACCGCACTGAGTTTGAAATGATCCAAAAGCGGTATGATGTGGACTCTCAGCAGCTTTTGAATCAGCATGCCAAGCAGCTTGCGCTGGCGGAGACGCACTTCGGGAAGGTTGACAGGTTAGAGAGGGTCTTGGGAAATCTTCATTCGGAGATCGAGGCGTCCAAAAAACTAAGCGAAACACTCACGGAAGAGCGCTTGAATACCCTTCAAGGTAAGGAGCGTATGCTTGGAGAGCAAAGTTCTCTTTTACAGGCGATGATGGACGATCTTAAAGACAGTAAGCAACAGCTGGAAAAGGAACGAGCCCGTGTTTCTGCACTGTATGCCAAATTCGAGCTTCTGCTCGGAAACTTCACGAAAAATTCTGAAGATGATCGCCGGCAGCTCCACGAGACCCAGACCCGACTGGAGACACTTCGCCAGCAAACGGATAAAGACCGCCGATTAATGCTTAGTGAGGTCTTTCAGGAACGTAAGGTGCTTGAACAGCAAACGGATGAGTTCTTTTCCCGTAAAATGGAGGCTATGGGCGAATTGCAGGCAGAGCGTTTGGCGATTTCCCGGGAACGGACTGAGGCAGCGGTCGCGCGCGAACGCCATAATCGCAATGAAACGGAGTTGCTTAAGTCCTTACATTCCCGCGAGGAGGAATATGCGCTTAAGATTGAGGCCATCGATGCGGACCGCTTAGCTATCACTCAAATGAAATTGGACGCAAAACAAGCCTCGGAAAGGATTGCCGCTGATCGGGAAGCGATGGCAAAAGAGCGAGAACTATTCGAGTTGGAGAAACAAGAGCTTCTTGGTCGTTTTGATCAGATACGGCGCCGCGCGCACGAGGCCGCGAGCGTGCAAGAAAAGATGCGCATGGCTTTAGTTCAGGAACGCGCAACGGCAGAATATGGTATTGAACCCGCCCAGTCGAAGCTTTCGGAGCTGCAGCCAAAGCCCACTCAGCATACCGACCCCAGTTCAATAGCCGTTACCATGACGAACCTTCAGATTAATTTAGCGCATCAACGGGCGATACTGGGAAAAATGGCGACGTAATAGCACCTTTTCAACTCAACAACAGCATGGAGAGGGAGTCAATGCGAAGTAGAAAATAGATCTACACCAAAAGCGTATGTGGATTGTGGCATTGAGTTTGCTACCCAAGGCAAATGGAGGAAATTTCACTGTTTGAATATATAAGAAACCCTTTCAAAGTACCAACAACAACATGCTACACTCATAAACACATCGCTACAAGGTTGAAGCAAAAGAATAGACTGTTTAACCATACAACCCAATATTTCTTCATTTTTTTATTTGTGATGCTCCAGCTTCGCCCCCAATTTTGTTTCCTTTTCCGTACTCTCTGTTTTTACGATCGTGGGGCTGCATCCTTTATCAGTGTTCCAGTTACCGAAATTCACTTATTTACATCATCCAAGCCCCAGCTAGTCAACAGGTCGACTTTTCAATATCAATCTATAGAGATCAACTTATTTCAATCGATCGATCGATATAGCGGTTTCCGCAAGTCCCAAAGGGGAGATGTTCCTTTCCCAGACGCGACGACTCCGGACGGCCAAGTCGATCCAATTCGGCGGCAAGGCCCGCCAGCGCATGCTGGGTGGGATAGAGCGCATTGCCACGGCGGTCGGGGTCACGCTGGGGCCGAAAGGGCGCAACGTCATCCTCCGCCAGCCCAACGGTGACCCAAAAATCACCAAAGACGGCGTCACCGTCGCCCGCGCGATTGAATTTCACGACCCGTTCGAGGACCTCGGCGCGCGGCTGATTCAGCAGGTCGCGGTGAAGACGAACACCGTCGCGGGGGACGGGACGACGACGGCGACGATACTGGCCTGGAGCATCTTCGCGGAGGGCTACAAAAGCGTCGCGACGGGGGCCAACCCGATGGACCTCAAACGCGGCATCGACCTGGCCGTGGAGGTCGTGCTGGAGGGCCTGCGAGGGCAGACCCGCCCGGTGACGGACCGCAAGACGCTGCAAGACGTCGCGACGGTCAGCGCAAACGGGGAGCGGCGGCTCGGCGAGCTCATCGCGGAGGTGGTGCGGGAGGTCGGGCGGGAGGGCTTCATTACGGTGCTCAGCGGGAGCACCCCTGCCACGCACTGGGCCCGCTACGACGGATGGAGCACGGAGCGGGGGTTCGTGTCGAGCAGCTTGGTGACCGATCCGGATAAACTGGTCGCCCGGCTGGAAGGGGCTTTGATGTTCGTGACGTCAAAGCCGATGGAGGCCGTCGCCGACGTCGTCCGGCTGCTCGAGGCCGCGCACGTCCGCCAGCGGCCTCTTGTGGTGGTCGCACCCGACTTTTCCGAGCCGGTGCTCCAAACTATTTACTACAACCATCAACACAAGGTTGTACAGTGCGGCGTGGTCGCGGTACCCCACGTTGAGGAGGCTGAGCTGCGAGACGTTGCGGCACTCTGCAACTGTGTGGTGGAGAACCCCAGCTCAATATTGAATGTCAACGACATCAACTGCCTTCTGGGAAGCGCCAAATTCATGGAGCAGACGATGGATAGCACGACGATCGACGGGGGCTCGGATGTGTCGGATTACATACACCTTCTGCAGAATCGTCTGGAGCGGCTGATTATCGAGGAGGAACGTGAAAAAATACGGGAGCGGATTTCTAAACTAAAGCGTGTTTATGCCGTCATTCGCGTTGGTGGGCGCTCAGAGATTGAAATTAATGAGTCCAAAGACCGCGTCATTGATGCTCTCAATGCCTCGCGCAATGCTCTGATCGACGGTGTTGTTGCCGGAGGAGGGGCCGCGCTACTTCATGCATCCAAAAAACTTGACGAGCTGCTTCTCAACGATGATGAGATGGAGCAGGATCGTCGGATGGGCATTCAGATTGTTCGTAACGCCGTGCGGCTTCCTCTTAAGATGATTAGCGAAAACGCGGGCGAGGAGGGCGCCGTCATCGTCGAGAACGTTGCGGAGTACCAGGATGCCGCGATGGGGTACGACGCGCAAAACGGACGCTACGTGAACATGTTTGAGGCCGGCATTTTGGATCCTGTCCAGGTTGTGAACTCGTGTATTGTCGATGCCGCCTCGGTCGCGGGGTTGATGATTACAACGGAGGCTGGCGTGTGTGACTACACACCGAAGCTGGACGTGGAGTAGACAAGAGGGTGAGAAGGGAGAGGAAAAGGACGTTTTTTCTCCCTCTTCACCACATACCTATTCTCCAGTTGAATAAAGCTTAACATCGATGAATCACCACATCTGGATGCCTTTTTTTCTCTTAAACTTGATTGCTATTTGCATGATAAGGTGTGGAAAGTGTTTTATCGTTTTTTTTATCTCTTCACCTTTAAAAGCTTTTTTATAAGACTTGGTTTAGCATTGTGGATCGGAAAGTGCATATTGGTATTAACTTTTCCCTTTGCTACTTTGATGATTTACTTTTCCGAATTCTTTATACATTTTTTTGGCCCTGTATTCTAGCCCCCATAAGTTGATATTTACTTTATTACGAAAATCCAAGGCTTTTTGAATAGAAAGCTTTCTACATTTTCATTTTGTCCATTATATTGTTTTTCTTTCCCTTTTGTTCTTTTTTACTTGTGCTTTACTAAAATAGGATAGAGTATAAGGGTTGGTATCGTACCAACACGCCCACGCCCTTTTTTCTCTTTGGCAATGCTTCGGCAATATAGACTGCTTCGAGAAATGGCTCCGGAGCTACAGCTCGAGTATGTTTCGGTTCTATTTACTCGTACCATATTAGGCCCTCAGGGCGGTTTTGCCGGCGAGGAGCGTCTTATCAAGCGGGAGGTTGCCCAGAAATATTTAGCGGATAGACACGTGGTCTTCCCTGACGATGAATCTCGACGTGGGGTGTGGTGCTACAGCCCCGACACCGATCAGTACGATCGTTTTGTGGAGCGAAATTCGGAATTTCTTGATTTTGCCTCCCGAAAACGTCAGTGGTTGGACGTTTATTGGCGTGTTAATACCGGTTATTTGTTATTTGGACGTCAATCATGGGGCCAAGGGTGGCTCCTAAACTGCCCATTACGTAAAAAAGACATCGCACAAAAGCTATGGGAACAATACAAGGTGCGGATTGATCCTCGGTTGGTTGAATTTCGTGAAAGGGACCGACTCACAGGGATTCAAGATTTAGGGCATAACTGGTGCTGGCTATACCTTCCCGGAGCTGAAGAGCTCGATATTGATCGAGAGGTATACGATAACAAGCGTGTCAAGGTGCGTATACATATTCGTAAGATGAACAGTTATGGGGCTCTCTATTGACATGATTAAAGGGACTTACTTTTTCCTTAGAATTGAATCAGCTACAAATATCAAGATAAAAGGGAAAGCTTTTTTTTAGAAATTTGAGTTTCAGCCCTGGTGTTTGAAAGAGAAGCAAAACATCGGTTTCCTTTTCCGCCATATACACGCACACACCGATACAAATCCTCGAAAGATAGAGAGATAGCCTTATTGCACTCGTGATAGATGATGGCATTGTGAGGGTATAATGGAAAATACACGTATGAGTTTTAATATATGCACTAGAGCAATGTTGTTTTTTCAGTCCCTTCACAAGTTTTACCTTTATCATTATTATCACCATTTCTATTATTTAGATACTTATTCCTACCCCTTTAATTGGTTTTCAATACTGTACTCAATGTTGTGGAAACAGCCTTACGGGCGCCATCTCACTACTTTCGTCGTACATTCGCCCTTGTTTCGTCAGGCAAGACGGTTCTTTGCTATTCGTTCCACGAGTTTTTTGCTAGATGGTAGCTCTCCCAACAGTAAAACAATCACGGCGCCAAGCACTGCTGATGAAGAGGATCATCAAGAATTAGAGCGAGAACGCAAATTGCGCGAACGCTTTACTGAGAAAGTTCAACAAAGTTTTCCACAAACACAAGGCCGTAGTGAGGACGGGAAACGGGAATCATCCACCAACATTGCACTTCCAAATAACTCCACGGAAAGCACTGGCTCTTCCATCTTCAACTTCTTCTTGGCACTTTTGCTTCTTTACTCATTATTGTTATTATTTCGCCATGGATCTCAGATGGCCGATCTGCAACGAATACCCTGGAGAGAACTCCCCATAGTCACTGTAGCATGTTTTTTACTCCTCAATACTTTATATTCAAGTAAAGATAAGATGCGTATTAAAAATGAGTTTCAGGACGCTTCCCAGAAAAACCCATATCTGACGTTTGATCAGTTTATTGCGCAGCGCTATCCAAATCTTTTTGAAGGGTATCATGCTTCTCAAGCGGAGGCCATTGCGGCTGTCTCGGCGTGTTTAGTTGTTTCGAAGGACCTAAAATTAGCTATAACTATGTTACGTGCAGTTCGAAATGGAAAGGATACTCGCGCCTCGGTGGATGCTCTTCTGGAAGCATTGCGCAAAGATTTCCCAAATGTTTTCTGATGCACTATTTATCGAAATGATAGGAAAGGGGAGGAAACGATTAAAAAAAGCCACATTCACTGTAAAGAGTTGAAAGAAGATGAAAAGGTGAAGTCAACATTTTCCCTAATAAGCTTTTCACATACATGTTTCAACAAATACAGAGCAATACAGACAATCATACAAAAAATCAATCCCCAAAACTACAATCTATTCTACTTTCTTTTTGTTTGATTGTGTTGTGTTGGACCGGAGCTAGCGGTGAAGCATCTCTCCACTATAATGTAGGAATGATCTAGCACGTATTCAATAGTATATGGATTAGCATGTCACCCTTGTTTTTCGGTAAAATAAAGATCATTGTCCCGAGTTGTGAAAAAATTAGAAATTGAATTACTTCTCCATCTACACACACACGAAAGATTTTTTTAGTTGTTTATTTCCCTAAGGAATCCCTGATAATGAACGGTCTAACCAGCAGTTTTTAATGTGTTACCCCTTTACACGTTTGAATTTTCAATATTTTATAGTCAAAATGAATTTATAAAGAAGCGAAAACTTTATTAGGTATAGAATCAGCTCATAACAAACAAAAACGTATCCAGTTCGTTTCTTTGTAAAGAAAAGCAGTACCTCTTATATTTAACTTAGACAATGGACTCAAATTTACAATGGAGAGGTGAAAACAACACGAAATCTATTCAAAAACCTCCTCGCACACTGGCTGAATTTCGTGCCATTATGGATGCCAAGCGTAACCGCAAGAATAGGCGAAGCATTGACTCTGAGGAAGAGGAGGAGCTGTTCTACAGCTTACCATCCGGATACCCATGTAAGAACTTTTTTAGATTTTTATCTTCTGCATCTCACGATGTCCGTATTCGTATCGAGCGGATTTATTGGAATTCTTGGAGCTCTGCTGTGCGTAGTATTCTCCTTTCAGGTTTTGGGATTATATTCCTTATCCTAGGGCTTTTATGTCTGTTCAGCTTACGTGATGCACCCCGTGGCTTCGTAATTCTTTTTTTGGCATTACTATTGTGTGTACCTGGCTTTTATAGTTTACATGTACTTCTTATGCATCTTTGTGGGTACACAAATTATTCTTATCACCTGCTTTCAGGGAGTAATTAATTTGTTTAAGATAATAATAAAATTTTAAGCGCAGCGTCACTTTACTCTACAACACCCTTTATTTATTTTTTTGTGTGAATCCAGCCTTACTACTGGTATCTTTTTTATTTAATTCATTAAAGCCTTCACTATCAATTGATTTCCGTCAAAATTTGGAATTTAGATCGAAGTTATTGAGGTTTCTTCCGTTGCGTTGCGTTCCACACCTACTGCTTTTATTTAGATATGTCTTTAAACGTTCATTTATTGCTTCTCCTTCGTAATTTGACTCAATTCGGCAATTCTTTTTTCGATAACCCTTTTGCTTCTTCTCCTTTTTTAGACTTCAAGTATATCTTCACAGCTTAGTTCCGAAGTTTACGAACAGAAAGCCTGAATACACCACAGCAAGAGACCACAACCCTAATGTTGCACAACTGCGAGCTGGCTGATCAGGTCAAGGAGGCCCTTGATGCCTTCTTTTCCGACGTTAATCTCCAAAAGAATACCTTTTCCTTCTCCGAGGCGGTTGTAGTGCTCAGCATATTTACTGGTCACCCGAAGGCGGAGGTTATCTCCAGGATCGGGCCGTCCTGCACTGAGGTCGACCGTGCCGCCCTCCACCACCACGCCTGGCAGATCCTTCTCCGGGAGAGCGCGCCCCTTGCGCAGGGCAACCCCCTCGGGCCGTACTTCCCCCCTGTCAGGGACCCCCCTGCGGCCGCCTACAGCCCCTCCCGCGGGCCCTTCGCGACGACGGCCTCGAAAGGGCCCCACGGCTCGTCGCGCAGGATAGCCCTCCCCCACCTTCTCCCCAGTGGCGGCATGAAGTTCTGCAAGCAATTCCAGCTCAGTGGCTCCTGCACCTTCGGCTCGCGCTGTCTGTACCATCACATGGGGAGGCCCTGCGGCGATGACGCCGCAGGGGAGCGTCCCGGCGCGGGCCTCGACTCCCAGGCCGGGCTTCGCCTCCCGAGGGCACTCTTGGAGCAGTCCTGTCTCAATAGGGAGGGCGGAGGCGCGGCGGCCTCACGGGGGCTGTGACAAGGACGCGACTTCCTCCGCCCTTGCGCGGCCGCGGGAAGGGCCTGCTGGCTGTGACACGTCACCGCACAGGGCCAAAGCGACAAATGGCGAACGTCGCGGACACCGATAACTAAACGCAAAACCATCTTAATATATCATGTTAATGTTATTCTTCAACTAGTTTCATCACTACGCTATAAATAGTTTCTTCAAGGGAAATTTGAACTCTATTATATATATATTATTCCTATTTCTTTCTTATTTTTCCTTTATATTCTGCTTTGAGTCTTTGAGAAGATAGAACATATTTTCAGTGCTCTGTGGATAACTCCCGGAGCGGTACTTCCTATACGCTGTTTGAAGAAAAAAAGAATAGACACATTCAACCGATTTATAGCCTCAGGTGATGAAAATTCTTTGCTTCTCCCTATTACCCCTTTCTATTTCTGTCAAGAGTTGCTTTTCCGGGTGTCGGAAGGAGACTTGAAGAACAACCAAAGGAAAAAAAAGTGTGTAAATAGAAACGTTTTAAGTATTAGTTACGCACTCATACATATATTCAAAGCAATACGTTGAGGTGGCAGGGCAAATGGGATGAGGAGGACGATTCGGTATTTTTTCTTAGATTATCTTCCAAAAGGAGCTCATGCGAATATTAACGAATGGACCAACCCGTCTGAAGTTACTGCCGAGTTTCGTCGCACAGAAGCCGCCGCTGTTCTTTCAGATAAGGAAAAAGAAAATCGTGGCTTTTTTTACCTTCCTTGTTTAGATTATGATACGGGAGTTGGTATACCTCCTTTGATGTCGAGGGCGCAGTTTGATATTCAGTATGATTTTTTTCATAGAGATGCCGTCAAACGCCTTAACACCCACACACTGGGTGATGAATTGGAGGGACACCCGTTAGAGGTGGTGATCCGGAATACGGCCTTTGATGCCGCAAGGGCTGTCATCCACATCGCGGCATCCGAGCACTTTAACTACTGTTTTTGGTATCGTTCGCTCAGGCCGTGGGGAACTAAAATCCCCTTGCGAATAAAGGAGCGGCTTCGACTGCAGTACGGTTACAAAGCTGCTCTAGACCCCATCGCGGAGGTGAAGCGCCTCTTCACAGTAACTGCACTTTCACATCAGAGGCTTTGCGGGTGGATTTACCTGGTGTGGACGGGCAAAAGCTTTGATGTAGTGGAGTTCGATCACGGGATGTGCCCTATTGGGAGTAATCTAACTCCTTTAATGGCTCTTAATTTGCACGAATCGGCTCTCTGCATCGACTACAATGTGCAGGATAACTCCACAGACGCGGTAGAACGGTACGTGAATAACTTTTTCAAGACCTGCAATTGGCTCGTCGCAAACCGATACTTTTCTATGGCTATTGGTGAAAGTGATAATTAGGAATTTTGCTAAAAGAAAGTACCATCAGGAACAAAAATGAGAAAGAGATTATTTTTTCGTGACTCCCAAAGCTCTTCATATATATATATTTTCCTCCCCTTTTGTGCTTTATTTTTTCCTTCGGGGTTTCAAATTCATTCCTGCACTTATGTATAGCTTCCTTTATCACCTCTGTTATACCTTTTGTTATTCTAAAACTAGCAATTAAAACGTTTCTTAGTTACCTATAAAAGTATCAAGTGGTTTTAACTAACACACACGAAGCGAAACCCATCAAACACCTACTTATTCATTCACGACTTAACAAAATGTCATCGAGGCAAGGTGGGAAACAAAAGCCACTCAAGGCACCTAAGAAGTTGAAAACTGAGTTGACAGATGAGGATGTCGAGTTTAAGAAAAATAAGCGTGAACAGGAAAAAGCTCAGAAAGAAGCCATTATTAAGATGAAAAAGTGACCGAGCAAATCTAGTAATAATGCTTCCGAGGTCTACATGAATGTGTGGCAATTAATTGTTTATTTTTGACGGTCTGTGTTTCAATATAAAGTATGAATAATAAATGAATCATCCCCTACCTCCTTCATTCCTGAACATCTTTTTAAAAAATGCGATTCCTTAACTTGCCACTTTTTCGCTGTGTACTTGGGTAATCTTCTACAATAAAATTCCTTTTATTATCATTTTTTTTCCCATCTATATGTGTATAGTTTATACCGACGCAGCAATTGAATGCATTTTTTCCCCAATATTATGTGTCCTGTGAATTTGTGGGTTTTATTTTGACTAGTCGCAGATAACAGTGTTTATTACCTAAGAACACTTTGTGTGTGTGTGTAGTCTTTATACCTTTTAGGATTGTTATTCTGATGCTCCAATCTTCCTCCATATTACGTTTTTCGACATTCGCGTTGAACCCCGAGACGTCGAGGGCCCCGCACGGTCCGCCAAGAGGTTTGATTAACCGATATATCTCCATGGGCCTTCCGCCATGGGCAGCCTGGTGTAATAAAGTGAATCGTTACTCCCTCTATCGCATGGCCGACGTGAAGCCGCGGTCATTCCTCCCAAAGTACCCACAGGAGATGGATGTGATTTGGTTGAATGAACGGGTACGAGAGCGGGTGAGGACGTCGCGACAGGTCCAGCACGTTTACCGGCAACTTAAATACCCTTATGTGAAGACGGGAATTCATTACAGTGATATTCTCGATCACTGGGTGCAGGTTCCTATGGTGGAGGCGGCCATGTTCGAAGTGGAAAAGAATGGTGGGTTTGATAACTTTATTTTAAAGCGCTCAGGCCCTGAACTCTGTTCAACCTACGGTGAGCGAATTAGACGGCATTTGCTTGTACGCCAAAAAGAAATTAAAAAGAACTTTGTTCTAGATCAGCATGCGAAGGCACTTTCGGAAGCAGTATACAAAGAGTTAGTTAAGACCCAAAACGAAGAGGAGCTAGACTTAGTTATTGCCAAATATGGTGTGGACGGGGAACAATTTAAGCGTTGTCTGGCAAAGTTGGTGTTAAATGAAAGAAAACAGAACAACCAACAACAGGTGGCCTAATTATTGTGCAAAATGAGTTATGAAAGGAAAAAAAAATAGATGAACGAATCTCACTTAAAACCTTTTGCTCTATGCCCTCATACGACATCTCATGCGTTTTCTGACAAATTTAGGATCAATAAATTTATGCGGGTACTTGCTTTATGGAAAACATGATCAAAATACTTCATTCATTGGTAATCACTTTCCTCTCATTATCTCCATTACTGATTTCCTCAATTAGCATTGAAAAGTGTTTGATACTATATTTTAAATAAATATTTCATACATAAATAAATAAATAAATATATATATATATATACTTATATATCTGCATCTTTATATTCATAACACAGTTACAGGCAGCATCGTCTACAAACATGGAGAAACGAACCGAGGGTATCACTGATGACCACCGGAAGTTTGTCTTCTCATTTATTCGCATGCTGCAAAAGGTTAAGGTCGATGACGTCGAGCGTTGCGAAGCTATCGTGCAAATGCTAGGCGAGGAATTCAAGGTGGATCCCGCTGGCGTGGGTGGCTCACACGATACTGAAGTAGATGCACTGGGCATGTTTAAAAGCGCTCTTCGTGAGCATGAAAACCAAGCAGGGTTGGAACAGGATGAAAAGTTTAAGGCTTTTATTTCTCTCTTGGAGAAGAAAGATTATTTTAAGGGACTCAATTCCGGCACTCCCGAGTACGAACAGCGCTTCGAAAAAGCTCGCGAAAAGTTCAATCAGCGGAACAATCCATACAGTGGCCTCACCGCCGAGCAAATTAAGAATAAGGGCAACGAGTTCATGGGTCAGGCGAAGTACAAGGAGGCGATTGCGTACTACACCAAGGCCATCGAACTGGAACCGGAGAATGCGATTTTCTTCGCCAACCGTGCCGCCGCGCATACCCACCTTAAAGACTACAGCAGTGCTATTATCGACTGCGAGCATGCGATCGTGATTAACCCGAACTACTCGAAGTCTTTCTCCCGTCTGGGCACCGCGCTTTTTTACCAAGAAAACTACACCCGCGCGGCGGATGCCTTCAGCAAGGCCTGCGAGCTGGACCCCGCGAACGAGATCTACAAGGAGGACCTAAAGCGGGCGAAGGACAAGGCTGCTAGCGGAGGAGCGGCGGTGTCACGGAATAGCGGGGGAAGCCTCCCCGGCTTTGGCGGGATGCCAGACCTAAGCCAGTTCGCGAATATGATGAACAACCCGCAGTTCTTGGAGACAGCGCAGAACATGATGCAGAACCCCGAGTTCAGCAACCTCGTTGCAAGCATGGCGAGCCGGTTCGGCCAGAGCGGGTTCAACCCGGCGGAGATGCAGCGGCTCGGGGCGGAGTCCGGGATGGGGATGGGGATGCGCGAGGTGGATGACGAAGGAAACCTCATCACCCCTTTTGGAAAGGTCACACAGAGTGCAATAGCGAAATTGCAGGAGGATGCAGTTCGAAAGAACCCTAAACTCGCTTCTATCATGGCGGATGTACAGTCCAATGGGTACAGTGCCTTTCAAAAGTACCTTGGCGACCCGGATGTGATGGACTTAATGCTAAAATTTCAGAACTTGGTGTTCTCTAGCAATTCAAATGAGGCGTAATAAAAAATGGTACAGTTTATTTTTCAATATTTTATTGCCTTTGTGATTTGGCACTAGGAAATTCAAGGAGAATAGTATAACCTCATACATTATTGTTTATACTCCTATTATTAACATTAAATTAATGTATAACGTGAAAAGATTTATTCATTTATATCTATATATATAGATATAGATATAAATTTTAAAGTTTACAATTATATCAGTGTCAAAATTTTCGAAGTATGTAAATTTTTTTTTTATATTTTTATTTATACTTTGTTTTTTGATTTAATATTCTTGGTATATGGCTTCTTTTTCCAGGGTGCTGCATTATTGACATCTGACGTCATGTAGTTCTATAAAAGCTTCATATTAATAGAGGGATCCATAAAGAAGGGATAATATTCTGTCATTGTGCATCGTAACTTTAAGGTCATATGCTGTGATGCTGACGCCAAAATCGATTAAAGGCACCACCGTAGATGCGAAGGTGGATGCTTTTATCTGATTTCCGTGACGCAGTTTTCGGCCGCTGGGCCTTCTTGTGATCGACGAGGGGATGAGGCTGCTCATAATCCCCATAATGCTAAGCCGAGCTATCTAAGAGGCCGTTCTTGAGGTTCAGGGTGTTGACGATGCTGTACGCACTAATATCGAAAGCCTGCTCTTCACTTTTTCACTTGGGTTGAATGACGAGTAGATTCTTAATATTTTCAACGCCGCGTGGGTAAACAATGGAGTCCTGAAGCAACCCTACTTGTACGTGACTGAGCGCTGGGTGTATTTTATGAACCTCAAATCTAAAACTCAAATTGTAATTTAACTGGATAAAATCCAATAAATCTAAGAGTTAAATTTATCAAAGTTCTTAACAATGAGATTAATATCTCTACTTACCTTGACAGAGTGTATTTAACAGATTCATCAAACGTGATTAAACATATTTACCGCTTTTGAATCATTGGATAAAGTGATAATCGATAAAGGCTCTGCGAGATTGTGTTTCCACTGTTCTTGAATCCATCAATAAATCTATTTATTGTGTACAAAAATGGCAATTATTGAAACTATCAAATGCGTTTTCGTTATTTACACTGTTTGCGTTTTATTGCATACAATAATTTACTTTCTTAACTTATGTTCCTTTACTTTAACTCTTAGGAGTCCCATTATATGCCGATATACTTTTATGTGTATTCATTTTTCTGTTTACAGATTACTGTGCTACGTCTTATAGCTTATGTCATTGTTTTTATACATTACTTCTTTTTTTATATCTCTTTCTGAAATCTATCTAAGTTTTCTAAATTTAGACTTAACAACGAAGTTGAGTAGACTGAGGAAAAGGTATAGGGAAAGGAAACGAAGTAAAAACAGTTTCCACACCCTTGGTTAAATTTTCACACAAAAAAAGACTTTTAAGGTAGTCTTTTACTCCCGCTTTGCTCTAGTAAACAATTCAAAGATATTCCACAACATCTTATATATATATATATATATATATTTATTTATATTGATACACAATAATCTTTTTACATTTCGTCTTTTTACGTTTGCTACATTAGAGTTAACATAGCGTTTTCCTATTGCTACTAAATTAGCTTTTTTTTTACTATTTTATCTTTTAGTGAAGAGAGCGATTCAATAAAAATAGGATTGTGGACACGAAACTGGGCGTTTACACGAAAGAACGAAATATGGAGGCACTTATCAGAGCCTTAAGACAGAAGGACCTTAAGGAAGCTCCTGAAAAACAAATTGAGGTGGCACCAGGGAAGTTCGGACCACATGATCCATCCCGTTATGTTAGTCTTTCAAAAGGGGCTGAGAGATCGACACAGATCCCTAAGGCACCCGAGAACATTACGGCAGATCTATTTGGGCATAACGAGCAAATGCTAATGATCCGACCTTTAGCATCACCCAAGCCTTCTGCTAATGTTCCTGAAGCTGCACGTTATAACATTAACTATAAAAATGGTTGTGCAGAATTCATATCCGATAACAGCTCATCGGTTTTGAAATTAGTCAATGAACCAGTTCTTAATGTACCTGTATCATCAAAAGTGCCTCACGAATTAAAGTTGACAGATATGCGAATAGCTGGGAAGAATTCTCCTGGTGGTAATAGCAAGCATATAAGCCTTTCCAGAAGATCCAATAGAATTGATAAAGCTTCCAAACCCGCATCCCCAGCATCTGGTTCGCCGGTCATGCGTTTCCAGAAAGACCCAGAGCCATTAAAAAGGCCTTCTAAGCTAGATAAACTTCGCAAATTTAATGCAAAACGTACCCCAGTGAATGACCTCGAAGGGGTCAGTCAATACAATTTCTCTTCAGATGATGTTAATATTAATAGCGCCCTTGGACTTGCTGAACAGCGTATTGGGCACGATGTAAATAACGCACCCGCCAGGGCTCCCGGGAATGAAAACCATGAGAGGGCCTCGCACGGCAACGCCAATTCGCATTTAGATGACAATACTCACAGAATTAGCAACGAATCTCTCGTGAATGATACCGAAATTTTGTCGTTAAAGCGGGTTCGCAAACCCACCCCTCGACTAAAGGTCAACGATGATAATTCGAGTGGTCGTGTGGGGATCGCGAAGAAGAGCCCTACCAATATCAATATTGACAACACCGAGAAAAGCCAGCCGTACCCTGTGAAAGAGGGGGGTAGTAAAGTAATGGAGGATTCCTCACCAACGGAGCGGCGTGCCCTAGTCACTCCCTCACAGCAATCGCGGGCGAAACGGTTTCCCATCGCAAACATCACCCCCCGGCATGTGGGCAGTGGTGGAAAAGAGGACCGGAGTCGCTCTTCTCAGGGCGTGTGCAAGAACCGCGGTGGGGTGCTTCCCCCCTTAGCGATCGCCGACCATCGCCGTGGCTCGATCGAAAGTGTTCAAAGTCAAAGCCTGAAGATGAGTGTAATGGAGTTGTCGAGCCTACCGCATGGTGGGGTGGAAGGGAAGGACCCAAGCAAAGAACGCGCTCGGCCCGTCGTGGACGGCGTGGGCCAGCGCGGCTCGTCCTTATCGACCAACTCAAAACTAGAGCGTCTCCAACAGCAGCTGCAGACCCAGGACGCGAAAATGCGTCAGCTGCAGAAGAAAGAGAGAAATTGGGAGGAACAGGTAAAGCAACTCAAGGTGGAGCTCCGCAACGCCCGCGAGAAGGAGCGAGTCCTCTGTAAGATCGTCGGCATCGATCACAAACTACCCAAGCGAGCGGAGACCGCACCCGATCCGCCCATCGTCCCGAAGGAGAAACCGCATAACGGCGCGGGGCCCTATCGAAAGCTGCACGACCTTCGGGGGTCACCGCCCTCTGACGGGGTTCGGATGCGGGGCTGCGGCAACAAATCCGACTTCCTTAAGGCGCAGATCTTTTCCCGAAACGCCTTCCGTGCGATCACGGCGCCGGACTTCGCAGAGGGGCGAGGTGGCCACCCGTCCCCCCGGGCCACCGTGCGGCCGTTGCTCAACACGCTGCTCCCGACCTGCCCCTCCGAAGGCGACGACACCGATGCCTTCAAAGGCAGCGGGGTGAGCTCGTTGAAGCTGGCCTCACTGAACACGCGGCAAACCGCCCTTTGCCTCCCACACGAGACCCATACGGCCGTCACACCTGTCGGCATCCATTTCGGGCACCTAATGCAGTTCGTGGACGCACAGATCGTAACACAGCGACAGGCGGAGGGGCTTTGGGAATTTCTCCGCGCCAGAAAGAATGCCGCGGGTGAGATGGAGGATGCGAAAAAGGCAAGTTCCGCTGAGGCGGACGCGACGGTGGAGTCCCTCACGGACAAGACAATGAGCAG